TTTTGGGAAACTCGATGCTAAATTGATTAAAAGATTTGATCCAATAATGATATAAGCAAACGCTTACATTTTATAAGCATGAAGTACAACGCAGTGTAACAAAGCGCAGCATAATGTGATACCATACTATGAGGTAACTTTATATTTTGAGTACAATACTGATTTTTTTAACCAGTACACAACTGTCAAAACTATATTGGACGAGGCGCTACAGTCTAATATAATCTGTGATTTTTTTTTTTTCTCTAAACAATGTATTATGATTATCTTTTTATTCCTTTACGTCACTTTGTTACTAAACCATTGTGTCACTACAGTCACGTCGTGGCACTGATTTATACATAAAGTTAACAGTTAATCAAAATATATGAGGGTTCGTTAAGATCTTAAATCATTTTTTTAAAGATATATGGATATCAAGTTCAATATCTTAGCAAAAATAGTTTTTTTTACGTAACATGATTTTAATCAATAATTCAATTTGAATGTTGAGAGGTTTCTAGATATCTTTAATTATCATCTGTTTCTTTCAGAGTAGTTTTCATGTTTTATAACTAATATAATCACCTAACAGTATGATATTCTGTATGTTTTGGGTTTTTTTCAACTGAATATCGAACGTTCCAGTGTTATACAAGTTGATGAGTTGAGAAGTTGGCAGTAAGTCGTGTATCAATAAAGTTAAGTTAAAGACATAAAGTCTAGATATTAATTAATAATGAAGTTGTTTTGCAATGGTTCAAAGTAGCATAACTTATCACATGCCTACATAAATTCCCATGATCTTGTGTTTTAAATATAGCAACTTGAATTATCTAATATATATCGCAATTATTTGCATGTTTTGTTGTTAATAATTTTAGCTTTGATAAAATAAGAATGTTTAATACTACAATTCTATCGCCAGTTTGCAAATGTCGTGACGGAACTACCGAATTTTTTATATCTACAAGATTACTACAAGATTACACACTGTATGATGAATAAAAACATAGACTTGTATGTAATATATTACATTTAAATATCATTAAATTATTTTTTCGAAACTTATGATATCATAACACACAATAAATTAATCATCAGACAGGAAGCAGGTATTAATAGTATCCGCTTAAGATTAACAAATATAGTCATTTGGGATGAATTTCACTATACTTTTACAGCTATCGGATTTTCCCCGACGTAATATCGATTATAAAACCAGCATGAGACCTGTAGATCAACCTGGTCCATTTACGTACTGAATGTATATCGATTAGTACCGGTATTTACACTGTTGCTGCGCGATTTTAATTAAGAAATGATATAGGACGATTGTTTCACTACTGAAGGGACAGCAAAACGTCATCCGTTGAGAATTAGTATAAACATAGATATTGATTTACTTCAAAACTTACCAAACGTTCTTTATAGAGTTATGATAAGTTTTTATGAATATATGTAATGGTGGACAATTTTGTAAGTATTTTAAACTTTCATGTTGTATGCTTATTTTTTAATGTTAGAGTCATTTCACATTTTACCTTGATTTAAATTAATATTAATAAAGTTTACTGATGCATTGTTTTATTCCAAAACATTAAAAATCTATCTCAGTAGTCTCTCATGCACTTATAGAAACTTACTGTTATACAGCACAATATATATATACGAATATGTTTTATATTTTTATAACGACTAGAAGAAGCATTTTGTTTGCATATTCTACTCGTGATTAACATGCTAATAATGATTTATACGTTTTAAGTGTGTCATAAATCATTTTACAAGAGAAGCATCATTTTTTATACTAAAAACAAGTAGTCTAAGTATTATGAAGTGTGAAATGTGCCGAGCAGCCTTTTTAAATACGGTTTGCTTCCAAATTTTCAGTAATTGAGGCATTCATTGGTATCTTTCACTTAAAATTAGATCTTTTTTACGGTGAAGGGTTTATATGTTATATCAATAAAATAACATGCATTGATTTGCTGGATCAATTTCAAATGGCTGAAACGAAACGTTTATATACATTATTGATCCAAAATTGTGTTATTTTATACGGTTTCCAATATTTATTTTGGAAGGTCAAAGATTAATTTCTCTTTGACGTTTTAGTAAATATACATTTTAAATTCAATAATGAAAGACTAACAGTTACATTGTGCAAATTTTCACCTTTAGTGAACCATAAGCTTGACCATTGAAAGTTGGAAATAAATGAATGTATGCCTAAAAGGTAAATAACCAATATCTGGTGAATATATCTAGTGAATATCCCTAGATTTGAAATTTCATTTAACTTAAAGGGATTTCAATAACTTAATACATACATTGAGACACCAACAGTATATAGAATGGTCAGATAACATGATTGGCTTGACTCTATACTCTATATTTGATACGATACTATACGACACGACACAATACAACATAACATAAATTAACATAACACAACACAACACAACCCAATTATCATATTATATCATATCATATAGTAACTTTCTGGCATTCTGATACTATGTATTAATTACAATATATAAATAAACAATATCTGTATTGCTGTTGTGTGAATTCAAATGCTTTATCATAATTATATTATTATTATTGTTAAGGATTTACAGTTTTAATAGACTAAATAATAAAGCTCTTAGTAATGAAATGTAATGAAAAGATATGTTTGTGCCACAGCAAAATTTTGACTACTATAGTGAGCATTTCTTCTCAAATAGTTTAAATGAATAAATGTCTACCTCATGGTATTTATATGAGCCGCGTCACGACAAAACCAACATAATGGGTTTGCGACCAGCATGGAGCCAGACCAGCCTGCGCATCCGCGCAGTCTGATCAGGGTCCATACTGTTCGCTTACAAACCCTATAACAAGTAGAGAAGCTGATAGCGAACAACATGGATCCTGATTAGACTGCGCGGATGCTCAGGCTGGTCTGGATCCATGCTGGTCGCAAAACCATTACGTTGGTTTTGTCATGACGCGGCTCAATTATGCATTTATATAAAACATGTTTTTGTTTTACCAGGACTAGACGACACAATGTATGTTGACATCACACAATTTGCAACAACGATTGTCTTCCTTGTGACAGCTTTGTTTACAGGTTTGTCCATTTTTACTGATTTAGAAGTATATATTTAAACAATAACAGATAAAACAATAGAATTTGTATATGTTAAATCAATATGAAAGTGTTGTATTTATTTAATGCTAACAAAAAATAAATACGGGTACTGATTCCGCTGAACTATATTCGTGTAATATCTTGGCTAATAATATTTTCCTCAGGATGATATTTTTATGTTACATGTACCCACTATTATAGTTATTCATATACTAGTATATTCACTTAGCTACATAGTAATTGTACTGCAGTAAGCACTGTATTTTTATTTTGTATTTTTATTTTATTTTTATACAGATGTATGTAATGGCGGTAGTTACTGTATGTATCTACATGAAGACTATTATACCTTCAATCAGAAATACTGTGAGGCCGGATGCTGTAATGATTATGGGGATGAGGATGAGATATGCTGTTTCTCATGGTGTAATACTTGAGCCGCGTCACGACAAAACCAACATAGTGCGTTTGCGACCAGCATGGATCCAGATCCGCGCAGTCTGATCAGGATCCATGCTGTTCGCTATCAGTTTCTCTACTTGAAATAGTGTTGGTAAGCGATCTGGATCCATGCTGGTCGCAAACGCATTATGTCTCAACGACGCTAAATGTCGCACTTGCCACTAAATGTCACTCTTGCCGCTTAATGTCGCTCTTGCCGCTAAATGTCGCACTATTGTCGCTAAATGTCGCAACCACCGCTATATGTCTCAATATTATTTGCCGTTAAGTGTCGCAACACTACCGCTAAATGTCGCAATATCAGATTTCTTTTATATTTTGTGTTGGCCTTTAACCTCCCGGGTTTTATCGATATTAAAGGTATTATAATATATCTGTTATTATTTTGCCAAAATCATGTTACATAGAGGATATTTGTTTGTTTTGCATGTAAGATTGAAATATAATTTCACTGAGTGAACACCAGATGCAATATTTTCACGAGTGGCGTAGCCACGAGTGAAAATATAATAGCTGGTGTTCACGAATGAAATATATTTCAATCTTATATGTAAAACAAATAAATTTTCTTTTTATTTTATGCTTTTTAAGTGATTTTAAGTATATTTTACTGATTTTGCCGCGTAACGTCGCGCATTCTCCTTTGTGACGTCATTATATCATGACGTCACATCATCAGTTTTGAAATCTAGTTCCGTTAAAATTCACTAATTTTGTTAAATTTCTAACATGATGTATGATGACATTGACTTTCTTTTCCTAAAGAAGTAAAATATACGTATGGCGGCATTTATTTCTGCCTGTTTTTCCATTTATTTATGAATTTCTGTTCATCCGCAATCAGATATAGTCCGGCTACAGTGAAAATTATATTTTATAAATTTCACTAGTGGTTTATCAGAATATAATCATCTGTGTTACGGCACCATATGTAAAACGGCACCATTTGTAAAATGGTGCATCATATGTCAAAAAATCGGAACCAAATACGAAATTTTTTGCCGTTTTGCCCTGCACCAAATGTCAGTATTTTCGGTACCATAATTATGTAAAATATTTTTTGATATGCACCATAAGTAAGAAAAGATGCACCATTCGTAAAATGCAAACAAAATATTTTATGGTATATATATGGGATTTTTTTAAATCGTTATTTTTTTGTTTTTGGATAGAATTTCAGCTTCCTGTGTTCGAATAAAGACTATATGAATGTCATGGTGTCGCTACAGTTAATTTTGTAAGTCAATTGGTGTCAGTAAATTGCCATGTACATTTTAATTGTCATAAGAACACACAACAGTATCGAAATATCATATATTTTCGTGGGAAACATCAATTTGACGGCTTAGCATAATTTTAACCTTTTAACAAAAAGGACTTTGAATGTTTTGAGAAGGCCTATTGTATTATAGATGTGTGTAACTGTTACATGCTTTTTATGTAGAGCTTTATTATGTAACAAAAAAAAAAGAAATATTTAAAAAGTTTTCAAATTTCATCCTGCTAATCTCATGCCTGCTCGGTATCTTTTTGGCTGCCCGCCTGTCCGTTCGTCCGTCTGTCTGTTCATCCGTCTGTCCGCCCGTCCTTCCATCCGATCGTTTATCCATCCGTCCGCCTGTCTGTTTGTGCACCCAGCTGTCCATCCGCTCTTCTGTCCGCCTGTCTGCTCGTCTGTCCATATGTTCGTCTGTCTCTCCGTCCGCCGGCTTTTCCACCCGTTCGTCTATCTGCCCGCCTGATTGTCCGCCCGTCTATCCGTTCGTCCGTCTGTCTGTTCACCGGTCTGTTCGTCTGTCCTCCCGCCCGCCGGTCTTTCCATCCGCTTGTCTATCCGACCGTCCGCCTTCATTCCGTTCGTCTGTCTTCCCGTCTGTTCGTCTGTCTATCCGTCCGCCCGTCTTTCCATCCGCTTGTCTGTCCGCCCGTCTACTGTCTACCTATCTTTCTGTATGTTTGCCCGTCTGTCGTTCCCACCTTCGCCTGTCTATCTTTCTGTGTGTCCGTTCGTTCGTCCGCCAGTGTGTCTGTGTGTCTGATGGTATTTCACAATTCCTTGCAGTGTTTTTTTTCAATACTTTGGGAATAGGACCAGGGCCCTTCGGGACTCTTACGACATTCAAGGACTGTACCGACAATTACAGGGACTTTAAACGACAAAAAGGACTACAGTAGGGACTTAACCGACAATTACAGGGACTTTTACGTGTGTATGTATGTATGTATGTATGTATGTATGTATGTATGTATGTATGTATGTATGTATGTATGTATGTATGTATGTATGTATGTATGTATGTATGTATGTATGTATGTATGTATGTATGTATGTATGTATGTATGTATGTATTCTCTCCAGTGTGTATTATTATATTACCATTCTCTCCAGTGTGTTATCATATCACCATTCTCACCAGTGTGTATTATTATATCACCATTTTCTCCAGTGTGTATTTTCATATCACCATTTTCTCCAGTGTGTATCATTATATCACCATTCTCTCCAGTGTGTATTATTATATCACCATTTTCTCTAGTGTGTATTATCATATCATCATTTTCTCCGGAGTGTATTATCATATCACCATTTTCTCTAGTGTATATTATGATATCACTATTATCTCCAATAACAGGAACTTTACCGGCAAATAAAGGACTGTACCGACAAAAAAGGACTACCGTAGGGACTCTTACGACAGTCAGGGACTGTACCGACAATAACAGGGACTTTACCGGCATATAAAGGACTGTACCGACAAAAAAAGGACTACCGTAGGGACTCTTACGACATTCTAGGACTGTACCGACAATTACAGGGACTTTAAACGACAAAAAGGACTACAGTAGGGACTTTACCGGCAAATAAAGGACTTTACCGACAATTACAAGGACTTTATCGGCAAACATAGGACTGTAACGACATACCGGTATAAGGACTACGGTTCGGACTCTAACGACACTCTAATGTGTTTGACCATCAGGGATTTTACCGGCAGGACTGTAAACATGCATCCATGTATGTACGTGTGTACATATGTATGTATGTATGTATGTATGTATGTATGTATGTATGTATGTATGTATGTATGTATGTATGTATGTATGTATGTATGTATGTATGTATGTATTACCATTCTCTCACAGATATAATAATACACACTGAAGAAAATGATGATATGATAATACACACTGGAGAGAATGGTCATATAATAATACACACTGGAGAGAATGGTAATATAATAATACACACTGGAGAAAATACATACATACATACATAGCGTAGATGTGCAAGATATAATTTTCATCTCGTGTTGTCCAGGGGTTGCAGAGTTATGTGCCCTTAGCCAGTTTTCAAACTAAATTCTCGTTTCTGACAAAGCGTTGTGAGGGGGTATTTATCAACTTCAGTGATAACTCTAGTTTTTTTCAAGTTATAGCCATTTGTAAAAGCACTACATTGTATCGTATCTGATAAATTTGTATTATGCTTACAGATGGGTTTTCCTTTTTAGAAAAAGATCAACCAACGCCAAAACTCTTTTATCAAAATAAGGAAGTTCTGAAACAATCTGATCTTAGAAGAATGATACTTAAATTTTACCATGACCTGAAGGGTGTTGGCTATCGAACACTTTATTATCGACTACAGCAGTCATACGCAGGCGTGTCGAAAAAGTTTGTCAGATCAACATTAGATAAAATTCCACACTACAGACAAAAGAACATTAAATTTAACAATAAAGCACCAATGAAACATGTAACTAGCAGAGTTGTGCATGAAACTTTGCAAGTTGATTTGGTCGATTTTAGTAGACAAAAAGTACTGTTGAATAATAAGGTTTATAAATATGTTTTAAGTGTACTTGGTGTATTGAGTGGACATGTTTGGCTACATGTACACACATCTTACTTTATTACCTCACTAAAACAGATGGTACAGCATTGTCCGAGAGTATTCTTTATTTTACTGTTGATATAAAATTAAATCGTTTATTACTTAAGCACCGTTAAGAAAAGGTGCATTTGGACACTGGTCTCGCAACAACACTGTTATCTTAGTTGTTAAAGACGTTTTTTTTTTGGTTGTTACATGTACATAAATGTTACTTTACTTCGCCGCAACTGCGTTTCTAAAGTTTTGTTTCACGAGTTTATCTGAATTTATTTATGTGAATGTTTTGAGTCACAGTTTTGCTAGTTATTGCAATAAAATTAGAAGAAAGAAACTATTGTTTTGGTTTTCAATAAAAACAATTTGATGGAAATCTGCTGCTGCTGTTGCTGCTGCTACCGCCGCCACCAAACCGCCATTAACAAAACCAACGCAACCATTACCACCACCACAATCACCACCACCACCACTACTACTTTATTGTACTAGTTCTACTGCTAAAGGTAATACTGCTACTGTTACAACAACAAGACGTACGTACAATTGTTACTGGTGGTGGTTGTGGTGGTGATGGTTATGATGATGATGATGATGATGATGATGATGATGATGATGATTGATTATTATTATTATTATTATTATTATTATTATTATTATTATTATTATTATTATTATTATGATCTTGTTGGTGCTGGCGACGACGACGATGTTGATAATAATGATAAGATTATGTTATAGTACAGAAAATATTACCCCTATATATATTACTCCAAGTGATTTTGTTTGCATTTTACGAATGGTGCATCTTTTCTTACTTATGGTGCATATCAAAAAATATTTTACATATGGTACCGAAAATACTGACATTTGGTGCAGGGCAAAACGGCAAAAAAATTTGTATTTGGTTCCGATTTTTTGACATATGGTGCACCATTTTACAAATGGTGCCGTTTTACATATGGTGCCGTAACAATCTGATATATTACAATAAAACACTGGAAAGCATGAAATAAAGTTTTATAAATTCCATTGATGCAATCATCATCTCATGTCAAATATGTAAAATATCAAACCAGGAAACCAGTGTGCTTTTCTTGAGTTCTTGAGAATGTTACAGGCGTCCAAAGTGAACATGCTGTCATTGTAGGTAGTAATGTATTCCTCGAGGCTGCATATGATGACGGTATATTCTCTTTAAAAACTTGCTAACATTCTGACAGAAAATCAAGCTCACTGTGTTATTATCTTTATTCGTAATGTACCTTTATCAATAATTTGAGCTTAAAACTATCATCTGTAACAATTTTCTAATGACAGAAACAATGTTTATATGAAAGGTGCGTTGAAAAAGTTTTTTGAGTGACACGCACTTACAGGACAAAACAAGATTCGGAACGATCAAATTTTCCTACATGTTATGTCTCTCACTGTTGAGTTTAAGGACGTAGGGTCATTCGTTATGTTTTCAGGTAATGTGAAATGGCATTGAATAGATGTACTCCGTGTAATTTGAAATTAAGTTTACTGTATGTCATGAAAAAGTGTTGTACTATCTCATTGATAACTTTTCCATCTTGAGAAAATATATCAAATGAAATTTTAAAGACATATGCTATAATTACTTAAAGGCATAAAGCAGATTGAAATATGTATAAAAGAATTTGTTAAAATTTTGAATGAGCTTAGATAAAAAATAATTTTGTAAAAATGACCACTATTACCAACACTGCACCTGTTACACTTCTTGAACCGAAACAATTTTACCAGTATATCATCCTTGCAGACTGAACTAGCTCTGTATTTATGGCTAACTTTAGAAATTTCAGTCTTGATATGCCAGAATGATAGACAGTTCTAAAAAAATGGCAGCTTTGAAAAGTGAATTTACA